AGCTACAGTGCAATGAATGACCCAATAATATCTATTAGATTTCACAGACAACCCTTTAATATGATTATCTAACTTTTGCTCTAATCACTAATGCAAAAGAAGAGGTGCTTGATGAGTTTTATGATCAAGTTCAATTTGAAAACAACAGACCATACAAGCAAGATGTGCTGCTTGTGATTGGAGACTGAAATGCAAATTTTGAAAATATTAAGGTTGAAAATGTAGTTGGACTGTATGGCTTAAGAAATTAAAATGAAGCAGTAGAACTCAGAAGGAGATTCCAACCTCAAATTGGTATGATAAAGGACAGACAGGAACTGATTGAAAGAAGATTAAACAAAGATAGAATGAGTATACTGAAATACTGTATAGTATAGATGCCAACATCCAAGTAATTTCAGAGCATTTTCTCTACATACAAGAACATTTAGTACTAGAAGATTATATTAGAGCAGCACTCTGGTCATTATCAAGTCAGAAGGCTATAGGAACTGATGGAATACTCACATAAATATAGCAAACAACAGAAGAAAAATCAGTAAAGATTCTAATCATACTAGACCACCAAATCTGGAGAACAACACAGCAGCTAACAGATTGGAAGAGGTCAATCTACATTCCAATACCAAAAAAAGGAGACTTAGCAGAATGTATTACTATTTTACAATATCTTTAATTTCACATGCTAGCAGAATAATATTTAGGATCATCCAACATACAGTAGATTAGAACCTTAGATGAAAAGGGAGATACCAGATGTTCAAGCTGGCTTTAGAAATGAATGAGGGGCATGAAACATTATTAATGATGCATGCTGGATAGAAGAAAGAAGAAAAAATGTCACAATTATTTCCATTGGTTATAGAAAGGCCTTCAGTTGGGTTGATCATGTTAAGCTGTAGAATATACTGAGAAAAATGGAAATCCCAGAATATCTCATTATCCTCATACAACACAAACACACACACATGTCAGGAAGCCACAATATGGACAGGACATAGTGAAACAGACCAGATCTAGATTGGCAAAAGTGTAAGACAAGCCTCTATACTCTCCCTCTATTTATTTAATCTATATGCTTATGCTGAATATATATTAAAGGAAGCTGGATTAGAAGAAAATGAGTGTGGTTTTAAACTGGAGGAAAATTTCATTATGGCACATAGTAGCACTTGGCAGAGTATCCATGAAGGTCTTGGACAAGATATTCAGATGCTATTATGTGTCTATACCAACCAAGATCAGAATAATGCAAGCAGTGTATTCCCTGTGACACCACCTGTTAGCAAAAGTTGGACTTTGAAGTAGCAGGATAGGAAGAATATTGACACTTTTGAAGTTTGGTGTTGAAGTAAACCCCTGAGAATACTATGAACAGCCAAGAAAACAAACCAAAGGTTCATTGAACAAATCAACCCAGAGTTCTCACTCAAGTCCCAAATGACCAGGCTCAAATTATCCTACTTTATAACACATTATGCAAAGGCCTAGCTCTTTAGAGAAGGCTTTAATGCTGGGAAAGGTGGAAGGAAAGAGAAGAAGAGGATGCCCAGCAGCAAAGTGGATGGACTGCTACAGTAGCAGTGGGTGCACTATTGGAAGACCTGAGGATCAGTTGGGGACAAATAGTCATGGAGAAAATCGATCTATGTCATCAGTTAATACCAAATTCATGGCACAAAAATCCCCATCCTCCACAGGGAGGAGCCATCCTTATTTTACCTCTAGACAGCAGGAATATCAAATCAATGTCTGAGGAAATGTACATTTAAGAGACTTTTTTTCCTCCAGTGATTGAGCTATCTATTCTTTCTGCCTCTTAATAAAACAAGCATGCTGGGAGGATACTATTTTGAGATGTTCTCTTGAGGGAACTCTTCCCATTTGTATCCATAGTATATTACTATTAAATTATGTACATAAATATGCTGTTCTGTTGATTAAGTGTATGGTTTTCAAAATGTGTTCCTAAATGTACAGTGCAAGTGAACACTAGGTAAGAAAAGTTGACATTGAGTAATTGTAAAGTACAAAATGTGCTGTGCTGAACATCAACATTTGTACACATCTGTAGTGTTGCATAAATGCTGTCACTGAGAAAGAACATAACCCTGAATGACTTGCATTGTCTTTGAAGAGTCGTATTTCCTTCTGCCTGTCAAAACAACACAAAGACATATGCATTTATTAAACAGCAGAAAGGTAAGAACTTCTACATTGTGCAAACTCCCTTCCACTCCTTGTATACCTATGTGTTTCTTCCTAATGTATTTCTTGATAGATAGAAAAACTTCAGGTAAGACTGTATTTTAAAAGAGGAAAATTAATATTACTGGTTAAATGTGTTTTTAATGAAAGTTGGGATAAGACATGAAAATCCACATGCATCATTTCCATTTAGTGAGGGTACTGATAGATGATGTATAGATAGACATAGATATAGATAGATGACATATGCCTTGTTAAAAAAATCCTTTCCAATATGAGAGCCAGTGTGGTCTAGCTGTTATGGTGTTGGATTAGGAGCAGGGAAACCCAAATTCTATACTACTTTATACACAATGAGCTGGATAATCTTGTGCCAGTTAATCTGTCTCAACCCTAATTACTTTGAAGGTAAATTTGATGACCTTTCCAAGAGTGGACTCCTTCACCATTCTGCTGAATATTATAACATTATATTATCTCCCATAATATTTTATTTTACATGATTAAAGAATTCTTGAAACACATAGTCATTCCATTATTGAATGTCCACACTCAGCACGGGGAAGGGAGAGGCTGTTTGATATGGTTGTAGGTCCCCTACTTTCATTCACACGATTCTGTATTTTGTTATTCATGTATTGAATTTTCTAATGTGTATAACCCTTTGGGTACTGTCTGAAAAAGAAAACCAGCTTACCTATGATAACCTCCCTATTTTATATTCCTTTTTTTAACAGAATTTGAAGTTCTTATTTCCATGATGATCAGAAATCAAACAAAGATTGCAGAATTTGTCCTTCTAGGATTTGGGGAATTCTATAAAGTACAAACACTTCTTTTCTTGAGCTTCTTAGTCATTTATGCTGTAGCCTTAACTGGAAACGCTCTTATTGTGGCACTAGTTCTCTTTGATCGCCACCTTCATACGCCCATGTACTTCTTTCTGGGGAACCTCTCCTTCTTGGAGGTTTTCTACACTTCCAATATTTTTCCAAGAGTGCTTTCTGCTCTTCTTACTGGGAACAAAATGATTTCATTTAACAGCTGCTTCACCCAGTGGTATCTCTTTGGTTCCTTAGAGGCTACAGAATGTTGCTTACTCTGTGCAATGTCTTATGACCGATATCTGGCTATTTGTAAACCACTGCACTATGCAGCAATCATGCAAGCCCAAACCTGCATCCAACTCGTAGTTGCATCTTGGGTCAATGGATTTGTAACGTTTGTGATATTGCTTCATCTGATGTTACAATTAACGTTTTGTGGCTCCAATGAAATGGATCACTATTTTTGTGACTACTTCTCACTTCTTAATCTCTCTTGCACTGACACTAGCTTGATAGAAATTATGGGTTTCATTCTGGCTGTGCTATTCACACTTCCACCTTTTCTCCTAACTCTGATCTCTTACATATATATCATAGCTGCTGTTTTGAAAATTCCTTCTACCACTGGAAGACAAAAAGCTTTTTCTACCTGTTCCTCTCACTTGCTTGTGGTTTCCATTTTTTATGGTTCGCTCATGGTGGTGTATATGCTACCAAAGAATAATGTGAATAGAAATACACAAAAAATTTCCTCTCTGTTATACACAGCTTTGCCTCCTCTCACTAATCCTTTTATATACAGCCTAAGAAACAAGGAAGTCAAAGAGACACTGAGAAATAGCATTAGACAGTTTGTGCAATGCAGACCAAGGTCCCTAAAGTTAGTTAATATAGTAAAAATGTAATAAACGGACTTCTTTTTCTCTAGCATTTTAAATGTGACAATATGATTGGTTATGTAAAACACTGTGTCTGGTTTGGTGTTGCATACTTTTGAGGTGTTGGGGAGCTGCAGATGGGGTCCTGAAGGGCTTTTTATGGCAACAGGCTTAACTGTGTCCATCTCTGTACTGTAATACTCCAGTGGAAATTTAAATACACAATTCCAACCCAGGCTAAATATGATTTCTATATTGACATAGTAGGAATCTCTCTTTAGTGTCAGGCCTAGCCCAAGAACAACAACAAGGCAGTCCAATCCGGTATAGTTCCTTTATTAGCTTACACACTAAAGACAGAATCTCACCAGACTAAATCTATGCTAAAACAACTAGTGGCTATACCCCGTGAGACTCTAGGGAGGGACCAGTCTCAGCCTCTTCATGTTCTCACAGTCCTGCTGCGGGCAGAGAAAGTGCTTGCCTTTTACCCTCTCCTGGAATGTACTCCCTCCCTCCTGATTGTATTCCCTCCCTCCCTCCCTCCCTCCTGATAGCCTTGATCCTCCATTCCAGTATCCTCCTCGCACATGCCTTCCATTACATTTAGTCTAATGAAACTCATCAGTTGTGGTTTCTCTTTGTTCTTGATTTTTCCTACCAAATACTGCTTCTCCATTCCTGCATAAGTTTAATAATATATTTCTGTATATCTACATAACCACTGATATTTCTTTTATCTGTATTCTTTCTAATATACTTAATTTCTATTTTGCCTAATAAATGTATTTTGGAAGCAGTTTTTCCTAATATAAGTTACTTTTGGTAATTTAATATACATCACATTTATGTTTTGAGAGTTTTAAAACATAAATATAAATCCCTTGGATGTTTAGAGAGTTTTGGAGAACTTCTCAAATTAGGACATACTTTATTTTTTTCCCCCAGCCATAAGCCTCACATTGGTGGGCTTGCATAAACTAGCCTCTTTTTCAGATTGGAAATTCTAGATTCAAAAGCAGGTGGGAATTGACTTTGTGAATCAAGACCCAAGAGCAAATCTTTTTTTTCAGGGTGCTTTATGATTTCAAACTCAATCTGAAAAAGAAGTTTCATCCATAGACTATCATGAGGAAGCATTAGAAAACAAACCTGCTGCTTTGTTTTTTGGTTAGATGGGATTAAAACAGCAGGGAGACTAAATCCTTTAGAGGATATTAACTCTGTCAAGTTTCCAGAGCTTCATCATATTTTTGTTGTTATTGTTATTGCATTTCTCCGCACACACCCCAACTTCCCATACTTCTTTCAAGAAAAAAGAAAGAACAGTACAACAGCTTCCATTCATTACAGTTCCCACCTCACTGGGGGCGGGGGGGGGGGAATCTAAATTATCAAATATGTTTAGCTTTTGTGAAAATACTAGGATGATCTCATAGTACAGTTTAAAATACATTGGTGATTTATAACAGTCTGAAAACAAAGAGTTTGCTCCCCTAACAACAGATTCAGGATCCACCTTTTTTACTGTTGGGATAAAGAATGGGACAACACTTCACCCCGTTCCAGGGATAAAAGAAACCATGAATATCAGTTAAATCTTTTTTTTCCTATACCTGACAGCAGTAACCTAACTTTGGACACAAATGGCAGGTCATATGGCGTGTGTATCACTGTCCCCAAAAGAAGAAAGGGCAAATTCTTTTACAGTTCTCTCATAGACCTTTAAAGACATTTTAGGGGCATGTTGGCTATTTTTCATCAATTTATATTTGTGCTTTTAATAATACTAATGCATGGTGCTTTAATTGCATCACTGGAGGGTTGTTATTATTATTATTATTATTATTATTATTATTTGTTTTTCTCTTAATAAAATGGAAGACAATTAGTTGGCAGGCTAGGAATCCCAGATATAACTAATTAGCCAATAAAATGAACAAGCTGCAAGAGCAACAT